TATTGGATCTTCTGAAATTGCAGTTCCCTCAGTTCCCGCGTCATCGAAGATTTCGCTTTCCGAAGAAGTCGAAGTTCCTGAGCATCCCCTGTCAACTCCGCCTTCTTGATCAGTGTGTCAAGAATGGCGTCGTGAGCCTCAAGCTTCGAGACTTTCTCCCCGAGTCGGGTGATCTCATAAGAAAGCTGGAGGTCCCCGGGTCCCGCGAGCTGGAAAGAGCCCTGCTCGGTATCAATGGAACCGTCGGCCCTGTCGTCATCTTCGTCGTCCTCCTCACCTGCGCCCTCTTCGTTGTCCTCATCTTCGTCGCCAAATACCCCTCTACCTTTCCGTGAAGGATTATGGGAGCTAGTGTCAAAATGCACACTCCGCTCTTCTTCTTGAGTCCGTGGCTGTTGGGCCTGCTGATCTGTAGCGATGATATCGGTCAATGCTGCTTGAATAGCCTCCATCCTCTCCGACTCGTCCGCAGGCAGTCTCGTATCATCGGGGTCATCAAAAAGAGGCGCTCGGGATGTTTCGGAGGAGGCGTCGGATACGGGAGACATCAAAACTTGGATGTTAGTGCGCGAGCTTGACGCAAAGGATGGCGAGAACTGTAATGCTTCGGACGAGGACGTACCCACCCGGGAACTAGATGAGTAGGGAGCTCTCAGAGAAGGGGATGACTCCGAGCGCAGTATTTGGGCGGGGAGGGGACGTGGTCTAGACGGCAAGGGAGGTGGAGGAGAGATTGATCTTGGCTTAACTGGTGATGATATCGATTCTGATATTCTAGAGACGCTGAAGTCTGTATCTTCGACCACCCGAAACCACAATTCCGACCTCTGGAAATCTTCAAAGTCTTGTTCCATGTCTTGTTCCACTTGCCTCTGCGCCAACATAACACTCCGACGAACCTTTCGTTCCTCGGCTGAGGATGGCTCGACCTCTTCCCGAGCGAATGACCGTATGTTGTCGACGTATTTCTTTGAGATAGATGATAGCGATGGGTGGGGCGGTGAGACCGAAAAGTATAGGTCATTGATCATGGATATGTCTTCTTTCACGGTGTTTGAACTTGCAGGGTCCTGAATGGGATCATCTTCGTCTCCGGATGAACTTGAATCAATAGACTCCAAGGGATTCTTGAAACTTTCGACAGTGAGCCAGAACTGGACAAGGAGGGAGCGATGGCGACGATCCATAAACTCCATAAGATAAGATAGGGATGCTGGATTCCGGAGTACGTCGCGGAGCGTCACTCGCGATCCCATACTAGCGTCCGTAGACACAGATTTTCTCTGCTCGAAATGTCAATGTCCACCCCACCAGGCCAGGGATTCTACTAGGATCTTACCGAATCTTCTTGGCCGCCTAGAACGACGATCCGCTGCTCTGCAGTGCGCTTTGCAGTGTAAAGTCTGTCCAGGAACGCCACAATGTCCTCAGTCTTCTCCCCGTTGATCCAATCCTCCTTTTCATGGTTGGCTATGAAGCTCAATTAGGATGACATGGAATTGCGGGAATCACGAATCTACCTAGGAGCAATCGCGTCCGCCTGATTTCACCCATAATGTCGTTCTTCAGACGCCGGGCATCTAAGAGAGACGAGCAGCGGTTGATACTCCGCAGGAACGACTCGAATTGACGGATATCAGTGCGGAGAGTTATCGTCTCTGCTGGGCCATTCGTCGAAGCCAGACGAGGGTGACGACGGGGTGATTGAGCCTCCAAGACATTTCTCACTTTCGAAATAAGCTTCCTAACGCAATATCAACTGATCCAGTTTTATATAGTGACCGACACACATACTGTTGGTGAATCGCTGCACCAGCCTGACATGATAGGCATTAACAATGGATTTCCCGTAGACAAGCACTGGAACATACCACTTGCTCGATGGTACGATTCCAAAAGTCGGGATCCGCAACCATATCCATGATCGGATACAGCACAGAACATGCAACAATCTCTCGGACAACGATTTTCAAAGCCTTGCTCTGTGACTCCTTCTCGGGTAGAATGTATGGGAGTATTCTATCCACAACTCCTCTCAGGTGCATCTCTTCGTTGGGCTTTGTAAACGTAGACGAGAGATTCTCAACAGCAGGATGGAGCTTCCCGCCGCCTTTTCCAGCGTATCTACTGGCCAAAAGCATGTCAAGCTCCTCCGACTGTGTGAGGCGACGCTCCAGACCCGCTCCCCGAAGCGCGACTTCTGACTGACGAAATTGCTCTATGTGAGCAGTGACCTTGGGTAAGATACGTTTAACGAGGAGGGATGATACATCAATGGATTCCGTCCTTCGCAATAGCTGTTCGATCGAATCTCGCAAGACCGACGATACGGCCATAGGAAAGGTTGGGGAGGTCGAGATGTCTTTGTACCACGACAGTACGAAGTCGCGTACAACAAATATCATGATATCGTTCACGGCGGAGGAGACCACAGGCAGTTCGGGACATATTGGTGGCAGGGACTGGGGCAATTTCTGGGACCATTGAGAGCGTGTTACCACGGCTTGCCATGCGGCGGGCGTGGAGAAAGCAAGAGGCCGAGCAGCACGAGAGAGCTCGTTGCTAGTGTGATTTTGCCTAGCATCCAAGATATATCCCAGAGCAATGTGAGAGATGAAGCATGCAATGACGACCAGCAGGAGTATAAAAGGGGAGATGAGCAGGAGGGTCACCGGGGAAGACAGCACACGATTGACGACAGGTATGACAACAGCGATGGACGCGACCGCGAGTACCGATCGCGTACTGAACAATGGATGCATGTCGTATGGCAGCGTTTGGGTACCGCGGTCGGTGGGGGTTTCGTATCAGGTCATGGGCGGTCCTGAAGTTGGTGAGGCCGGCCACCAAGCCCAAGCTTTCAGACGTGGGAATAATAATGGTGGCCTTTATTCATGTTTTTATAATTGATAAAAGCGATAATCCGTTCATCTCCAAACCTTTATGTACAGTACCCAGCTCAAAGTGACGACCAGAAACACACGCATTGGCGGCTGAAAGCTGGCTGTGTGTTTCAAGCCAAATTCAAATGCCAATACGTGTGCTTCCATCCTGTGCAATGAAAAGGCCAGGCTGGCCAACTGGTAGGAGGCTTTACTAATGCTGCATAATATTAAATGTCAAATGCCTCCGAGTTCCGTCAAGGTTGTGCAAGCCTTTTCCTAAACCTTTCCGCATCCCTCGGGACTTCGTTCACTCTATGGCTTCATCCAGCAAGAACCAGCCACTGTCCACTGCAGAGGGTTTTATCTGTGGAGGGCTGGCAGCATCAATTGCTGTTCGTTGACCTACCTTCCTCGGTGCTCCGTTGCTTATACTGAAAAAACGTATGTCAGGTGACTGTATCCAATCCCGCAGAAGTCGCGAAGACCCGGATGCAGCTACAAGGAGAATTAGCTAAAGGAGGGGGCCAGAAAGTATACAAGAACGCTCTCGACGTCTTGGCTAAAACTTGGAGGAACGAGGGCATCCGTGGCTTGCAGAGAGGTCTCGGTCCAGCCGTGCGTTTTCATTTCCTGCCTCGACCACAGTCCACTGACCAATAAGCAGTATATGTACCAGGCATGTCATCCATACGCACCGTGGACCGTTCGCCAATGCTAAAATTTCTTGTAGATTCTGATGAATGGCTCACGTTTAGGTATACCAGCCACTCAGTCATAAGGATTGAACATACCCTGATTTTGAAACCCGTCACAGGTTTCTATGAACCTCTTCGACGGACATTAAATCGTTTCATAGGTATATCACCAACTGACCAACTACCTCTCACGTCTCTTGCTGCAGGCGCTGCGAGTGGGGCGGTGGGCGGTAAGTCATCCAGTCGTGTGTGCGAGGGTTCAAGTTAACAACAGAATAACGTAGCATCCATCGGAAACCCGCTGTTTCTCATAAAAGCGCGGATGCAGGTGAGCTAACTGGCCCAGCCGGGTCCTCCGGAGAGCTGACGTCACTCTCAGGCATACTCCCCTGCTCTTCCAGTTGGCACCCAGCACTATTACAAAAGTTCGTTCCACGCTCTCTCCACGATTTGGAGGGCCGAGAAGTTCCGAGGAATAATACGTGGTATGGACACTGCTATTCTTCGGACGGCTATGGGGTCGTCTGTGCGTTTTTGCAGAAATTACAAACGTACTGTTGTGGCTAATACGTATTTGCCAGGTACAACTACCGACCTACAACTGGACCAAGAATCAATTAGTGACCAACGGTCTATTGCCAGCTAACAATATATGGACGTACTTAGCCAGTAGCTCTGTTTCTGGTATCTGTGTGGTATGTCGCGACCGTGTCTTCCCTCGTAGCATAGATCCTGACGCATTTGTAGCTCATAGTCATGCAACCAGCTGACACGGTGAGTCTATATCAAGCGATACGATGCGTGTCATTGGCTGAACTGCCCCCAGACGTTAACTCGAATGTACAATCAACCAACAACGCGTCTATCTAATGGTCGGCTCTTAGGGACACTGTACAAGAATCCTATCGACTGTCTGTGGAAGACCCTTAAAGCCGAAGGAGTACTTGGCTGGTACAAGGGTGTGTTCTATCACTGCTATAACCATTAAGCGACGATTTTGAGCACGAGTGCAGGCTCGACGGCGCATTTCCTGCGAATCGCACCTCACACGTGAGTTGCAACGGCTGTGATCAAAATGATATTCCGACACTTCTTTTGACAGCATCATTACATTGACCATGAACGACATCATTCAAAATCTTTACAAGGACTTCAAGAATAATCGATTGTGAACACAGGGTGTGGGTAAGTGGACGATGGCGTTAGCCAGCCGTCTGCACCCCACGGCGTCCTTTTTAAATTCTAGATTGTTTTCTGTGACATAGATTACCATGTGCGGAGGATAACCGTCCGCAGACGTATGTACTTAGGGAGCATGCTAATGGCAACAGCTTTTGACTGTTTGAACTCCTAACGAATAAGGATGATGCATTGACATCCCTTAGTGCTACATACAGCGTGACCGTGGCGTAAAAAAAGTTGAACCCGACCCGGATTGAACGGATGACCTTATGGATATCCAACTAGAACTGGAATCATACGCGCTACCACTGCGCCACGGGTTCCGTGGGTTTTTGGCGTCAAAGTACAACCTATCCCAGCCGCCGTAGTCCATGGATGTTGTGACGCAAGAAATATTACCGTCTCATCGAAACACGCTTGGACGAGGAGCCGTAACAACTACATTGGAAACACAGTTTGTGGATTGGTTAAATGATTTTCTTCCATCGCGAATTTTTTCTAGTGCTCAAGTATACTTCTGAATCCACATCACGACCCATCCACGCGGACTGTTGCGTTGGCATTAGATTGGATATCTTAGGCCAGGGGTCAAAATATATCTGTCACGACACAAGATGGTGTGTACTGACCAGGAATTTCTGTCCCGGTTCGAATATACCTGCCTCACCACCTTCTGTACTCGACAAACCAAGGACGTCCCACACTGTCAGCTGCGCTTTACGGTTAGGTGGATGTCTGCGAGTGTATGCATCCCGAACAATGATCACTCGGAAGTCGCGGATGTCACGCGGGGGACATGTAGCCTAGGGGACGATGTTTAGCGCAATGGTATAATCCTGCCACTAGGAATATACCTGTAATTCTCGTTCGATGTCGTCTCTGGCCGCCTCTTGTTCCTTCTTTCCTTGTTCTCGAACTTGTCTTGCCAGCCAGCCGGCGCTCGTCGAACTCACGGTCGCCAACACCGCCTTGGCTCGCACAGGGTCGTCCAGTATATCATCGCAAAGACTATCTATATTATCGGGAGGGGAATCTGGTGGAAGAGAAAAGGGTTGGCCTCGGGAAAGGCAAGTATTTCGTTGACATACCCTCATCTTTTGGACAGAACTGAGCACCCGCACGCTGCTCTAGTCTCTCCGCATACCCCGCCAGAAGATTCATGCGTTTCTCAAATTCAGACCAAAGTTTGGACGCTTCAGTTTCCCTTTTTAGCTGGATGTTCAAGTGAGGGGGTGCACATCGCAAGACGCGGGACGGTACTTACTCTCCACCGTGCGCTGACTGCTGCTTCATCCTTGGCACTTCGAGGCCCCTCCCGTCTCTTTCGCCCATTTTCTCCTTCGACGAATTCGATATAGGCGACGGGAAACACCTAGTCCGACGATAAGTTGAGCGAGTGGAAAATACCTCCGGTGTTACCTTAATTATCTCTAGGGCCATAACAGCGACCGTCCCACCGTCAGCTGTGAGGCTGTTGAGCGTAGAGATGAAGGGACCACTCTGAAATCCAAGTTTGGCGTGCCATGGGGCCAAGTGAGAAGAATTTCCCGAAATTGATAGCACATTTGAGTCATAGGCTTCCAGAATCTCCGACGGATCCTTGCGCTGAGACTCGAGCTTTGTAGAATGGTATACATCAAGTTCGTCGCCATATTAAAAAGTCTCACCTTGGAACCAGCGACACCAATTTTCCGGCCTACCCGAATAGTACCATTTCGAACTGCCCTCGCGAGCGGCGCATCAATCTTTGCACGAAGCCTGTACCATCCATCCGTAACTTCAAGTTCTGGAAATGGGACGGTCGGAAAACCGTCGTCGTCTACGCCAGCCTCTGACCAGGTGATGTTCGAAATACACAACACCATGGGTGAAGCAGCCGGAGCGTCTCTCGTAGAGATCAACCGCAATGGCGGCCGTGAAGAACCATTGAGGTCACGCTCGTACCTGCACTAACGTCAGTGCGGGTTCATTTGAAAGCATGTGGTATGACCTATAAAGTAGCTGACGGATGACTTCGGGCCAACACCACCTTTTCTTATGAAGATCGGCCTCGCGCTGCGGTTCCAGGGCAGCCATTCCTGCTAGCTTCCAAAGGATCAGTGGCCAATGGTTCTTGACCCACGCTTCCGTCGCCAGGGAGCAACCCCTCGCATGCAACTCTTCCAAAGCAGTGGCGTGTCCAAGTAACTTGGGGGGAGATGCTGGCTGGGAGCCTTCCGGGGGTAAACTTGACGGTGCATGAAACGAGTAGAAAAGCGCAGTGTTTAGACTTATCTGGTGAAGCTCCGACAGGTTTCTAAGGGAATGAAACTCAGTAATATGCCTATCCAAGGTAGATCAGTTTCATACAAGCCCATGCTCCCTAGTTCGTCATCAGTGTAAGACTGGGGGCAAAGGCCAGAGCAGCCAAGCGAAATCCTATTGGCAGGGGGGGCTTCATTGCAGTGAAATTCTGCACTCTCGTCTCGAGATTGTAACTTACTCAGGTTGAAAACCGTCCAAGAGTTTTTGCCTTTGTCTTTTGAGGCTGTCTTCGGCTGCGATATTGATGGCGGGTATGAACGTACGGACCTACTCCCCGAATCTGAGGGCACAGCATGCTCAAGGGTAAGAGCTGCACGTCCGGGGTCGCCAGGCTTCATGCCAATTTTGAACGGCGTCACAAATCGGGGTCTGGCCGGAGTAGACTTAGTACTGGGCTGAGTTGCACCATATGGTGGGTTGTTGGCTATGGCGAAAGTCAGGCGTAGAGGAGTAGCTGGAGCTAGGCTGGATGTGGGGTGGTGTTGTGAGCCCATTTGAGCTGTCTGACGGGTGGGGTTGAGGGGAGAGCTAGTGTATCCGACACTGGCGGAGGTCGGGTTAGGAAGCGGCTTGGGTGTAGCGGTGCTCATGAGTGGTGACTTGAACGGTTTAACTTTGTTCCTGCTCTTGTTATCTGTAGTTCCCAGTGTCGGGGTACGGAATCCAGGGAGTCCACCAAGAATGGCCGATTTTCCAAGATTGGTGGCGGGTGTTGGGGTTTCTGGGATACGGGTTGGGGGAAAGGAGTTGTGGACTGCGCCGAGCACGGTCCTCCGAGGCGATATCGGTTGGGACGTGCGCACATGTGGGATTAGTTTTGGTGGGGATTGCGACAGGCTGGGACTATGGGTGTCCTCTTGCCAAAGCTTTATCTTTTCTTCGGCTCTTCGAAGAGCTGTTAGTGACGGAGTTATAAATCCACCTGACCCGGTCAGACGACTGCCCTCGCCGGCCACGGAGGGCCCCGCAATGGCAGCGGTCATGGATGATGCTGTCTGAAATGAGCCCAAGGCAGAAGTTGCTGGCTTGAATCCAACAAAATCGCCTGGAACGTCGGATTGGAACCACGTAGAATAGTCTGGTTCTTGGGAGGCTTCTGGTGATGGTGAACGAGACGTATCGTGTAAAGAGTCACGGGGGATGAAAGAAGCTGATTGAAAACCGATGGCAGGGAGTACGGCTGAAGCCTTCATAAATGGCGCATATATGCGCGCACCACTTTCGAGACTAGGATCAGCCAACAAGGGGGCCGCGGTTGAGGTGGAGCTCAGGAGCTCATCTGAGGTAAACGGGTTGTCATCGTCATCCATTGGGATAACCTCTTGAGAAGAAAAGGCTTCGCGATTTGACGGGGGGCTTGAACGGCCAGCCACAGGAGCTCTAAAGTCGAGAGAAGAAGGTAACTTTGCATTCCCGGAGTCCATAGCTTGCGTCTGAGGGCCTTGTGATAGTCTTGCTTCGATTTCATCAAGAGCATTGATGTCATCCTGGCTTAAGTCGCCAATCTGGTCATCATACGTTGGCGAAGATAGTCGCATTCGCTTTCGCGCTGGAGATAGAGACGCTAGAAGGCAGTCAGTATATTATTATTGCGGAATGGCATTTGCATGGTTTGTATTTTACCAGATCGTGGCATCGTTAATTATTGTTTGAGGTATCGAAGAAGGACAAGTACTGCGATGGAGTGCTAAACGGACACGCGATTTGGGACGCGTCAGTAACGTGACTAATCGTCCTCAGCTGACTAATCAATAATCAGACCCATCGGATTCGGACCCTCCTCTTCCGTTCCGTCCATCTCCCTCAATGGTTTCATAACGGCCGCTTATAGAGGTCTGCAATCGAGTATTGTGCTATACTGATATACATTGCCTCTCACTCACAAACCGCGGTTTCTCACACCGCGGCCTCCCCTCCTACCGCCCAAGTCAATCCATTCATGTTCACAAATTTTGAGCTCACGTTTAATATCATGGGTGCAAGGCGAGCGTCGGCTTGATGTCCAATGTCTGGACAACCTAGTACTGATTTTTCTGATGCTCCTTGGCGAAGCCGTCGGGTGCGAGATGCCAGGGTTCCTGGTGGCCTGACTGCTACATTTACCCCAGAGTTCGTCCTCCACCCGTAGCTCCCCCTAGCCCACGATTTATCCCGGTCAGAGATCATTTCGAGCACAGTCAATCGGCTTGTGAAATCTTTTAGGCAAAACCAAGTCCACAGTGATGTACATAGTTGTTGTATATTACTTATAATATATGGATTTCATCTTGTTCAAATCTGTTGTGAACATATTGCAACGGTTATACGCCAACACCCAAACCGATCGCCAACCTCTGGTCGTAAATTCCTCCGAGCCTGTCCCTGCTTTTGTCATTGTGACGAAAACCTGCTGCTCTACAGCCGCGCCCTGTCCTGCTGGCGTTGTGTACATTCGTTGCAAACAAAGCCTTCCAGCTGACCTCCACGTTCCGAAAATATTGGATTCTTCAGGTTCTGTATTCCCTGCATCCCTCGCAGACCGTCGAGGTCCAGTATCACGACTGGGGATCAAATAGCCATGAACGGAACGAATATAAACTCGAATCATAATCCTTCGAATGCTCGTGTAGCCAAACCGCCTCCGACCGGTCCCGCTCCTCTTGCACCTGCAGTACCTCCTCCCGTGCCACCAAACAACGTATCGCAGCCTCCACCGAATCGACCGCCTGCCCATCCCTCTACCGCCGTCAATGGCACTCACGCCCACAACCAGAAAGGGAAGAAGAAGAATGATACACCCGTCGATCCTGCGACCATGTACGAGAGCCTGAAGAGCAGAATTGCAGCTTTGGAGGAGGAGGAAGTTCTAGAGGAGGAAGAGGAACGGAGATTCGGTGTGTAATCCTTGCGGATACTGTCGTACTGCACGTTCACACTACTCTCTAGCCGAAGAAGCCGTCAAGTCCGTCAAGGGCATGGAGGAGAATGCTATCCACTCGAAGTACATCGAGCTGGTAAGTAATTTATGACAAGGATTGCA